GACACTTTGGCATTTATCAAGCGACTGCAGAGAGAAGGCTGACAAAACAATTTAAAATTGTTTTGCCAAGTGCCCGAAACTAATTGAAATGTTTGGCTAGGTCAAACGTATACGTAACATACGAGTGTCCTCAGCAGATGTCTTCTGCAAGGGTACTTCAAATACGAAAAGGTTAAGGGTTCTTCAAGCTTAATATGCGATGGGATTTCTTAAATTTAGAGAGTGGTAAATATTGCTAGAGGAACGGGGCTTGCCTCTCGTCTGTTAAATTAATTTTCACCACTTATGCGCTAGATTAAGCAGCGCCAAGACCCCAAGACCGAGCTCTGTCGTTGCACTCATTAGGAGACGCACGACCGCATGCCAGATGGCAGCCATTTCCTCTTGTTCTTTGGCTGCCACAGTGAGCCCTCAATAGTGTCTACTAGCTAACGAAAAGGCTCACTTCAAATATTTTACTGGCAAGACAGAATTTATGTTCATTTAATTATACAATTATTTGCATGGCAAAAAATACTCTGAATATTTTCTAGGAATTTCTGCGCCCCAAAGTGCACTTCTGCGGTCATTCACTGTACTTTACCCTTGCCGCCCGCGCCGCCTTGTCATTTGCTGCTCTCATGAGCGTGTTAAAATTGCGTTCAAATGCAAATGTCGCGGACCCATGACCAAGCAGCTCGTGGCAAGAGAGCGAAACCAAACCAAACCAAAGCCCAGAGTCGACAGAACCGACTGCGACGACTCCGCCTTTTAGTCTGGCTGCAAATGGAAATGCTTATAAATTATGCAAGGTGTTCTTTTCTGTGGGTTGCACTGTGTATGTGGCAAGGATACGACAGCTGGCGGACAGCGGACACTGTCAGCGCTCGCTCATCCTTCCTTTCAGGGGGGGAGTGGGGCCTGCACTGAGAGCTGCCTCTGTTGATTCTACTCGTTGAGCTGTTGTTCTCCTTAATAGCTGCCAGCATTGACTTTTGTTTGTGTTTGCGGCTTGTCACCCAAAACACAGCTCAAGGAATATACAACGAGGCAGAAGAGTTGTCCAGAGATTTGCATGAGAAAGCAGCGGATCCTGCAGGCGTTGGATACTGGTCTTTAAAGAATTTATTCAGCGGATGTGTTCCCTATTTATTGCAGCTCTAAATATATAATGCATCCCCCCCTTAGTCCCATTACATATGCAACGGCTCGCTCCTCCGGCGGCCACAATTCTGCCCCATTGACTTTCTGCATTTCAATTAATGCTAATGTGCCAAGGCATCTCCTGCAGCCTGCCTCCTGCCGCCTGCATCCTCAGACAGCAGCTGCATTGCGCCTAAATGTATGCAATGACTCCGACAATTAGCGTGATTTTCAACGGTTGATAGAACTTTGGTCAGCGAGGGAGGAGGGATCGTGCAGCAGTGAGCAGTGAGCAGTGAGAATGAGGAAGGCCAAGAATAAAAGGGGTGGTGAATGTGAGTGAAAATCGTGCTGCAGGGAAATGCAAATCAAGCAGAAATGCCGCACAGCAAACGACACAAAAACAAATCGCCAACTGCCGCCGCCTGCCGCCTGCCGCCACCGCCTGCCTGTCCGCATTTTGTATTCCAGTTGCAACAAGAGCGAAGGAGAAACAGAGGCAACAGCAACAGCAACAGCAACAATTCCTTCGAATTCAATTTGTCTCCAGCGCGTGCAGCGCGCAGGGACAGGAATCAGAAAGAGGCAGGAGACAGCAGCAGCAGGGGCACGGCCAGGGATCAGTTTTGGGGCAGACGGAAACGGAAACTGATGGCAGGGGAAACCGGCAACTGCCTTTGACAAGTCACTGGGGCTGGAACTGGGGCTGGGGCTGCGCCTGGGGTTGTGTGGCACGTAAAAAAGCCCCCGGACGCGATTCATCCATTGTCTTGGCCTGACACGTGTGCAACATGCAGCATTGGAGGGACGAACAGTTGCTTTTGTTGCTGCCACAACAGTGCATAGGAGCAAGAGGGTATGTTGGGCAGCAGAACTACAACAAAAAAATTCCCCTTCAGTGGAAATTCTCTGATCAACTGCCACTTGAAGGGGTATCCCTTATGTCTAACCTTTCCCGCACCTGTCAGTGTCACTTACAGCGGGGCCAAAGAAGAATATAAACTGATAAAAAGGAAGACTCCTCCCACTCCTCTTGTCAGGTGGCAGTGGCAGCAAAACTTTTCATGGCTACAACTTTTATGCGCCCGATTTGACAAGTCAAGATTGTTGTCCTACTCTGCTGCTGGTGCTGCTGCTGGTGCTGCTGCTGCTGTCTTCCAAGTTGGGTTGTTCCTGCTGCATGCCCCCTATTACGGCACCCACTTGGGCAACTCTTGCCGCACATTGCATGTGGTTACAGAGGGACACCCCAAAAGACACTTCAAAATGGTAGGAAACGAGGCCCTTCCCAACTCTCTTGCTCCCTTGCTCGCTGGCTCTAGTGCAGGTTGCCAGAACAGCCAGAGCAGGGGCGTAGCTCAGGCGAGGAGGGGAAAAGTTAAGAGAACTTTGAGGATGAAGCTGAAATGGCAACTAATAGTGTTAGGTGCTGATTCGATTGGTTGAAACAAAGAATTACTCGGTGGCGTAGCGGAAGGGAAGCTGGAATTGGCCTGGCAACAGGCTACAAAAATTAAACAGCAATGAATCCGAGCTATAGCTCAAGCATATCCTTCAGATATAATAGTTCAAGGGTGCAGATTTGTCAGATAAATCAAACAAATTTCGCTTTTAAAATTTTACCTAATTGTGGCAACCCCTTCTAACTCCGTTCCTAGATTTGTGTCCCTTGCTTCAATTGCTGACTCTACGAGTCGGTCCACACTCCACCGCAGTTCCTATGTGTGTCTCCTTGATGCCATGTTTGAGTGTGTGTGTGTGTGTGTAATGAGTGTGAAAAGTTCATTAAAGTTGCACGTGCGAAATTATATGAAATTTTAAGTGCATGACTGTTGGCCACCGCGTGTCAGGAGCAGCCCCTAGCTTCCTGCTAGAGCAGCGAACAGCAGCGACAGGATGCGGAAGTGAGAATTATTTTCCCCAGACATTTTGAGCGGTTGTTTACGCTTAATTGCTGTCGCCAGTCGCCAGTCGCCAGTCGCCCCATTGCAATCATTAATTTCTCTGCCCAAATAATTTATTATTTAATTGAAAACTAAATGCTTCCCTCCGTGGGTATCCTCTGTTCAGAGGGCTAGGGAATTAGCCCCATTTTAATCTGCCAATCAGCCGATCTGCCCGCAGCCAGTTTCAAGTGTCACATAAATATATTTATTCAAATGGTTTTCCAATTCAATGATTTCTATGTTTATTTTTTTTTCCGCGAATCTAAGCCGAAAGTATTTAAGTGGAATTCACACCTCATTCAGGCGGGATCCCGGCATTCCCCCGCAACCCATTCAAATGCCAAGCGCACAATTTTGATTGATTTTTGTACATGAATGGTTTCAATTACAGGACTCCTATCTCTATCGCTATCCACATCCCTCCCCAGGACTTTTACAATAACAAAAGTCATGCTGTGACACCTCTCCATTGCCTCCTCCCTCCACTTGCTATCCCTCATCAACCTGTTGCATTCTCCGCCCCCACCACCGAAAACTCAACTGTGATTCTCGCTTCATTGGAGAAAAAGCCAATAAAAATGGCAAGGAAGATCTCTCTGTTGGCCTCCGTGTCAGAGGAAAACTGTCGCTGACACTTACAAATTGGATTTTGCGACAGGAACAACAACAGGAACTGAAGGACACCCAATTATCGGTAGATGGCATAAAAAAATCGCTTAAACGCAGAGCCCCCGCACCCAGATAAATAATGTCGCATGTAAATAACAACAAATCAATTTTTAAATAGACAAAATGAACCCGCACGTACCCGAACCAAAGACCCACAAGCTGGATCCAATCCAGGTCCTGCCTGACAACAATGAACCCTCTTCATGCGTGGGGGGGAGCAGGCCTAACGTGAGGGATGAGAGTCTGTACAGTGGTGCGTCTGTAAGGCTTACAGATAGCCCAAAGAATAATTAAAATAATTATGGAAGGGCTATTGCTATTCCTATTTGTAGTTATAGTAATTATTCCCGCGCTCTTCAAAGATCAGCTACTCAAAAGGGATAATTTATTTATGGTTTCCCTTCCCTATGCAAGACATTTTCTAGTCCCCTGCAATCACTGTGCCTGTGGGCCTCTCGGCGCACGAAAAAAGGTCTTTGTCTCTGTCAGTGGCAGTGGCAGGCATTTTCACTTAGCCGCTGCCGCCTCCGCTGCCAATGGCTTTGATAGATTCAAGTTCACAGTCGGACGCCAGGTAAAGCATTCGTCTGGCCGCCATTCCCCAGCCCCAACCCACGACTGGTCCTCATTCTGAGGTTGTTAGCATCTCGTTTGAGGGGTTAGTTGGTTGGGTCTGGTCTGGTCTGTTCATGCGGTTCATTGACATGGCCATCAGTGGGGTAGAATGGATGCGGATAAGTACTGAAGGCAGGTTAGAGAGTATCAGATTTAAGTTTGATTAATTGCGGCAAATGCTATGCTAATTTGTTGGCACTTTTTTGCATGACTGCCTCTGGCCTCCCGCCTGTCTGGCTGTCTGGCTGCCTGTCTCTAGTGATTTTGGATAAGCCTCGTAATGCGAGACTATTAGTGGGCGGTTCGGTAAACTAATTTTCCCCAGCCCCAGAGCACACGCCACACACCCACCATCGCCCACATTGTGTTCGAGTGTGCGTCTGCGGGGGTTGACAAACACTAATTAATTGCAATCCATGCATAATGAAAGCAAAGCAGAGCTCTGAAGGTCTCTGCTGCTGCTGCTGCTGCTGCTCTTATGGCGTTTGATTGAGGCTGGCTAATTACTTTGGGGTCTGTCAATCATGTTCAAGCATGTCCAACACTTGAAAGTTGATTGGGAAAATTCACTAAAAGACTAAAGGGGAATTTCGATTGGTTTTCGGTGGTTTATACGGCCCGTAGCCGGCACATATTATTCTCTGATTTCCAGGCCCAGTTCCACTTTCATAACTTGTCAAATTTTCTACACGGGAAACTAAATTAGAGCAACAATTCAATGGAAACGACTGCGGTGGGAATTGCATGTTGTTTTCAGCTGCTGGGAGTTTGCTTTTTCTTCAGCCCGCCGGAGGATCACTGCTCGCCGGCGCCTACCCTCGCCAGCTGGCTCTTCCTGCTGGCCACTCTCTGCTTCCTCTGGGACATTTGCATCTTTCCGGCCCGCTACATGCACATGTCCAGCAACTGGCAGCTGCTGATCGAGACGGTGATGGCGATTTTCTTCGCTGAACTGGGCGCCATCGTCGTTTGGTGTCCCGTGGAACGTGTGCTCTACGGCATCACTGAAGAGCTCCTCAACATGGTGGGGATCAATGGGTGCGAGCCCTCGCGATGGCAGTACTGGCTGTTGGGTCTTCTCTCCACGGCGGTGAGTGGGGCGCTGCTCTGGTTCATTCTCACGGCCAGCGACGGCATGTACTACCTGAAGAGGTTCACCCGTAATTTCAGGCGAAACCTGCGGCAGGCCTGGTCAATGATGAGCTGCTACCTCCGCATGAGCAAGGCGGCCAGGTGTCGGGCCATCAAAGTCTGCCAATTGGCCACTCGGAAACGCTGTTCACGAAGGTCCTGCCGTCCACCGGCAGGGGAGGAGGAGGACGAGGACGAGAACGAGTGCGACGAGGACGAGGACTATGAATGTAACTGAGTTTCGTTTGGAATTTACGTTTCCGTTCTTTGCCAGTCGTGACTGGGTTAGCATTCCATTCTCATCTCTTTTTCTTCGTCCCTTTTACACGACTCTGACAATAAATTTTGGCCCGAGAAGATGCATTCCCGCCTCCTGTTTTTGTTGCCGAAAGGGTGTCACAAGAGGTCGATATCGGAGAAGAGACTGGAAGTGCCAGGGAAGGGATTAGCCCTGCTTCATGATGGGAGACACTCTGCAGGCAGCGAAGAGAATTACTTGCTCGAACAGAGAGTGGAAGCAGAGGAGTCTGCTGAAAAGGGGAGGCAGAATATTGCCAGAATATTCCCCAAGGAAATATCAAAAGTTAAACCATGTAAAAGTAGGTTTAAAGTTAAATTATCGACATGAAGAGAAAGTAACAAAAGAGCAAGATGTTTAGCCATAATAAATAGAGGTACTCCCATTATGTTTAGCCCCCCCCAAAAAAAAGGGCACAGAGTTATCTCCCGATTATTCAACGAAAAAAATCATTTCTCATATGCATCTCCCTTTTCTTTTTCCACAATTTCAGGCACACCCCCTCTCACTGTCCGACCGTCCGTCCTGCCATAACAAACACTTTAAGACAGATGGAAAACTGGGGAAATGAATAAGAATGGGCGTGTCAGACGAGTTGCAGACAATCAGGGAACACATTCGGAGATTGCCATGCATTTCAAGGGAGCAATCGCCGCCATATGCTAACTTTGATTACTTCTTCTGGCTTTTATCGCCGCTCTCGCCGCTCTCGCCATCCTCGCATGCCATGCCATACATCCTCCCATTCAGCATATTTCCGCCTGCACAATCCCCCCCGTTGTCAGTGGGTGGGAGGCAGTAACAGGAAAAGGCAGACAAAAATCAGGCAGAACTAAATTTGGGGGCTGATGGAGACTGTATACCCTTAAAGGAGGGATTAAAATAAATGCAAAAATAAAGGTTTATAAATGAATAAAATAAAGGGGAATATAAAGATTATGGGCTCGTTTTTCCATGCATTACAAGCATCTACCTAAAAACATATATACCCTATGAAAGGGCATGAAAAAGTAACACAAAAAAAATTGTATTTCATTTGGGCCTGTGCCTGTATTTTTTTCAGGGCGAGAGAATGAAGGAAGACGGAACCGGATATGCGACATTTTATCAAGTCGAGCATAAATCAACAGCTTATAGGGGATTCTGGGGCAGAGTGGGAGCGAAATAAAGAAAGAGACTGAGAGAGTAAGTGTCTGTTCTGTCTGCTGTCTGTCTGTCCCACTGCCTTACTTTAACTCGAGTTGGCAGCTCTCCATATTGTGTCTGTGTTTCCTTTCACTTTTTTGCGTTACTTTGAAATTAGCAATAATTTATTTTGCATAAATTTGCCAGCACTTAACATGCAAGATCTATGATGCAGCCATTGCCATTGCTATGAGGAAAATCGAGCTTACCTGCCACACAATCTAGCAGAATCCCCTGCATAAAATATGTTTCGTGTCTGTGTGTGTGTGTGTGGTGTGGTGGTTGGGTGCGGATGTGCGGGTCACACTGAATTATGCCATCTAATTTGTCTGGAGGCAGGTGTGCCTCATTAATCTTTTGCCCGCTTATGAGCGTTGCTTTCCCGGCACCTCTCTCCTATCGGCTCGCGCTGCTTCTTTGGATTTCCCTTTAGCACCCCCATGGGGTTTGTGTACTGCAGATATAAGCTTTTTCCGCAGCCTCACGTAGTGGCGCGGATTTGCTTTTCGTTTCAATGCCGCACGAAGGTTTCTACACGATACTCTAACGCTAAACGGGTTGCACTAACAACTGCTCTTGTTGGGTTGCATTTACCAATAATATTTTAAGAAGAAAAACTAATTTTAAGCACTTTGTTTACACGCGCAGACACGCCGCCAGCAAATAACTCAACAACAACAAGAATTGAGCTAAGCAGGGATTTAACGAAAACAAACGGTAACGGTGCTTTTGCGCTCTCTGCTTTGCCTGGCTCGTGCCTGACGTGATCTTCGCTGGTTGTCCCGCTTGCACTTCAAGTCGTTTGCTTTGATTTTGCAGAGAGAGAGAGAGTGCCAGAGAGAGACGCTTGAGTGTAAATCAAGGCATATCTATAGAAGGTACGACCCTCTCGCATGCTCTTTATGGTTCTCTCAAATGCCTCACCTTTTCCCAACATACACTTTGGATTTGCAATGAGATCTGCTTAAGAGACAGACAAGTGATTATTGGGAATATTACGGCAGTATTTATCCATGCGAAATATGTAAAATGGTATCATGGCATGGTAATAAATATGTTTAATAACAGTTCGTTCCTTAAAAAGTATTAAAAATTCATAAGTTTACTCACCTGCCTAGAAAAAAAGGCAGGTGAGTAAACTAATGAATTTTTAATACTTTTTAAGTTAGACATTAGAATGAAACGATAGCAAACAAATAGTATGCCAGTTGAGTTAACTCAAAAAGTCGACTCGTTCTTTGTAGGCAATAAAAGCCTTCACCCCGTTTCATTAATATAGTTGAATGAAAAACCTTATGAAAAAACGGTTCACAGGAGCTGCTGTTGCAGGGGTAGAACAAATTTTTTTATATTATCCTTTTCTATGACATAAAAGGTGCTTAAAAGTGGAATCAAAAAGTTTAGGTCCTTGAACCATATAAAATTAATCCTGTCGAAACCCAGAAAAATAACTCGGAGCCCAAGTTTAAATAATTGTTGCCAACATGAGTGAGAAGGAATCGAGTCCAAAAACCTCTGTGATGCAACACATTGAAGCGGCGCTGTATGTCCTCAATCAATTGTGCATTGGCTTCGTGACCATTTGGGTGAGCTGGACGTGTTTGCGCAAGGGCCTGAGTTGCTCACGCTTGCATGCGTGGCTGGTTACCTTCGGATTTATCTTCCTCATGGCCGAGGGCATGATGTGCTTCTACGACGGAAGCTGGCTAACTCTGCGCTACACTCGCAAATACAAAAAGGCCATCCATGTCGTGCTGCAGGTGATCGGTGGCGGGATGGGTGTAGCCGGCTGCCTCATCCAGCTGATTCGCGACAAGTGGTCCATTGGTGTTACCACCCATGCCAGCCTGGGCTTTGCTGCCTTCGTACTCTGCTTGATCTCGATGCTGAGTGGACTGGCGGCCCTCCTGGCCCGAGCCATGAGCAGGGCGGTGTCGCCGCTAATCACCAAGACCTTTCACGTGACGCTGAGCTTTGCTGCCTATGTGATTGCCATGATGGCCCAATACTATGGATATGAACGGACTTTCATCTTCAAAAATCAGGGAGCGGACTTTGTTATCCTCATGCGAGTAGCCACACTCGTGTCCATGGTCTTGACTAGCATAGGAGCCATCAAATCGTTATACCACAAAGTGCTCAGTTTGAAGAGCCGCCTGTCGGCCGTACAATAAAGTGCGATCGGTGTTTAAATTTACGGTCTTTTACCGCTCTGGTACCAACAAATTAGTTTACAATAATTTGTCTGATGGGAGGCAGGACACATTTCCTTAAATGTAAGGAACTCAACATATGGTAATTAATATTATCTTGCTTTTGTCGTTAAAATTGTTTTTGGTTGTTCAATAAATCTACAAAATAAAAAATTAAATCATAATTATATAAATCATACAAAATAAATATTAAAAATGTATGAAAACAAATGAATTAAAATATTTTCTGATTATAAATTAAAATAAATAAAAAAAAAAGATATCACATAATATTTTGAGAACTTCAACAATACCTCTACCAGTCATGGCAGAAGGGTATCCAATTGTCGCCTGAGCAATGAGAGCATCCCATGCCTTCCCCTTTGGCTGAATAGTAGTGGCGCACCTGACTCCTCGTATCTTAATGCCTAATGGATTTGCGCTTTGATGTGCCAACTGTGAATACGTGTATCGCAATCCCAATAGTAGCACATCTCCATCCGGGTGGGGGTGCGGCTGCGGCGTATATGGGTGTGCTTTGGCCTGGCTGTAAGTGGTTAAGTGTCTATATTAGAAGCCATCACTTGCAGTTTCCCATTGGCCCCATTTCTACACTTTTTTTTTGGAGCCCATTTTCCTGCAAAGGTGGCGACCATAAATTCTCCTCTAAATGGCCATATGAGGGCCGTGGCGGCGGCGGCTGCCTTTGAGATGATTCTCTGTTTATGGCCCGGCCAAATGAAATGTGCGTGTGTGTGTGTGTGTGTGTTTGGAAGTGGTAAGCGGTAAATGGGCGTGGCTCGTGTTTGCTTTTAAAATTAAAATCCTGTCCATGGTTCCGCAAAGTGTGTGGCGTGTCTGTGTGCAGGCCTGGAATTGAATTGCCTTCTTTTTCCGACTTGATTAGCATAAAATGTGGTACGTGTCTTGGTTTGAATGGAAAATTCCCTCAAATGAGAATATATAAGAGTAAATACATATAGCTGATGGTGATTATGATGCTGCTGAAGAGGCGTGTCCGCCCGTAATAATCTCGAGGGGGCATTGAGTGCTTTTTCAAAGAATTTATATTTTTATTTTCATTTTCATTAAAATTGGAAATTTTTTCACACCACATTGTTCATTAGTTTTTTTTTTTTTTTGTGTTTTACTTTTAACTTGTTATGGAAATCTCAATTTGGTTTGGTTTTTCGTATTTTTTCAACATTTAAAAATTCGCTTGGTTTGTAAACAATTTTTGTTTTCCTCCCGTTTTCCACATGTACATATGTAGATTACTTATACAAATTTTGTAGCAATGTTCTGTGTTGTCACTGCACTCAATATTTAGTTAATTAAATTGTGTTTGAGTTTAATTAAATTTTTATTTATATACACACAGTTTTTTTTATATTTATTTAGTTTGGAAATAGTTTTGTTTTCTTCCTCCTTTCATATGATGTTTTTGCTATATTCTTTGGGGGTTCCTGTTGCCTGCCTGTGGTGGGTGATTTCTCTCAAAAGGTTTCTGTATTTTTTTCGCTTATCCTGTTTTTGTTTTTTTAATGGATCATTTCAGAACTAAACTTAGTTATTTGCTAAGCAAATTAAATTTCAATATAATTAGCTTAGTGTCACACTGGTCTCGTTTAAACTAACATTAATTCTATTGAAACAATGTTTATTTTATGAGCATTTTGCTGCAATTTCTTCTCGCTGCAGTTTCAGATTTCCTTCGAATTGTTTCTTACATATTTTTTAGATTTAAATTTCTTCTTTAACTATAATTTTTTTATGTTTGTTTGTTTTTTTGTTTTTAGATATTTGCTAGTTTTTGGTTTTATTTCTTTTACGAAATAATTAGAGATTCATTTAAACGTGAACATTAAAACCTTTTTGCATACCTAAAGCAAATATAACCAACATTTTAGAATCTAAATTGAGACAAGAACTGAGCAGGGGGGTAGCCTTTGGATCTGTGGATATGACATCTAGATATAGCGAAAATAAAAACTTACTCTTGACTCATAAAAACGAATCAAATGTGGATTATAAAAAGCTATTCAGAAACGGACATGGACACAATCGAATCTCTTTCGTTAGCTTCTTCTCTTTTAGATTATGTTATCCTATTGTTAAACTAAATTCTTAGATAGTTCAATTTCACATTCTCTTATATGCAATATGTTTATTAATTTCATACTCGTATTTTGTGGCAACTTATTCAACTTTCATTTACATCAGAGTTCGGATCAAAGTTCGTTTGGTTTTTTTCTTCTAGAAGCACATGAAAAAAAACTATAAATATTGGACCAAAAATTACCATTGAACCTTATTTAAAGTCAAATATGTGTTCTACATCCTGTCGCTACTGTCGCCTATCCATCTTGTTAGTCCTTAGCTGTCAAATATTTACAGTGGGGTCCTGTTCGCCCCTGTTCTCTCTGCTATCTCTGTGTTGGAGCTTCCATGAATAAATCAATTAACATTTATGGGTCGAAGAAGGAAAACTTAGCATACTCCTACTATGCGCTGGATATCAGCGACCCCAAAATATTATTTACAAGGTCAACCACACAATCCACCAAGTCGTTTAAAGGGGTGGGTGGTGTTTGGTTTGTTTTGGTGTGCTGCGGTATGGTGTGGTGTGGCAAGGACATTCATGTCGTCGCCATTTTAGTTTTTGGGCTGTCGTGGCATTTTGTGTGTGTCTGTCGACATAGTTTTTACTTAACTTGGGTGTCTGCGGTGCGCTGCGGTGCGGTGCGGGAAAGTTCATTGAAACGATGGCAGTCAATGTGTCAGATAAACATTCCCAGAGACACTTTTGTGTGCTCCCTGCTCACGCCCCCACTGTGCTCAGTGCTTTGTGTGCGCTGGCGGGAGAGCATCCAATAAATGGAGCATGCGAGTCAAGTGTGGAAATTTATGGTTTCGTCCAAAAGATTTACCCAATAAACACCTTGATGTGTCAGCCACAGATGGAAAGAGTAACGGAACATTCCGCTTTGTGGCTTCAGAAGTGGGTGGGGCAGTTAGTAAGGGCGAATGGTAACACTATTCCTGCTTGGCTGCACACAAGTGGTCACATTTATATGGGCGATATGTTTGCTTTGTATGCGGTACGGTATGACGATGCCCATCGTCTGTCTCTTTCCTCTCGTCTGTTTGCCTTGGCATGGCAAAATGGCCGGACTCGGACTCGGAGTCGGACCACGGACCCGTACGACCCTGCTCGGACGTGCTCTACTGCTGCACGGCACAGCACAGCACAGCACAGCACATCTATCTATCTTGCCAGTGTTTGTATGTACGTGTGCAAGTCGGAACATGCATGTATGTCCCTGTCAATGACAGTTGTCAACATGACAGTTATAAGGACACTGATACAAATGTAACGGATGTTTGTCTTGGACGTAGACCAAACGGGGCGATATCCCCGGAGTTGTAAAAGCAAAGATTGATTAAAATTCTTGATAAATGAGACGGGTCGGGTGTAAATGTGGGGCCTACTCGTACGCTTACACAAAACTACAGCAGTTTCTCTTTCGGAAAGATGTTCTGAAAGCTGTGTGGTAGGGTGAGGCAGTGTTATTCCTTAGAATTAAAAGTTAAGTACTTCGTCAGCTTAAAGAACATTAAGAGGCTCTCACTTATATTCTGGTACAGCTGCACACACTCATTCAACTAACATCTGTTAACGTTTTACAGCACTGTCAGTTCTTGGCCGAAAATTGTACATAAAACTTATAGTTTGAGCAGCATTTTTAGTCACTTATAAGCCAAATCATTTGCACACAAATTCAGCTAAGGTTGCAGCACAGAAGCTCAAGATATCCTTCAGTTACAGAACAGTTTTTGACCTCACTGTGTCCTCGTTTAGCAACACTGGCACTACACATTCTCGTACTTATTTTCATACATTTTACAACACTCACTATTATTTTTTTTCTGCAGCTTTTTGAGCATAGTTTGAGCAGCTTTGAGCACTAGTTTTACTGAGGAAAATCCCATCGAATCGTTGGCCATCAATGTGTGGGTCCCATGTAGATCCCGCCCATGCTATCGCCGCTGTCACCACCGACGCCGCCGCTGTCCTCACCATCGTCCTCCAGGCCATCGATGATGCCCACCGAATCGCTGTTCCGTTTGCCGCACAGTCCGTTATTGGCAGCCGCCTCGTACGTGTCGCTGTCTTCCACCAGACAACAGTCGCCACAGTCGTCGGTGGAGGAGTTCACATCGTCGCTGAGATCGTCCAGCAGCGTGACCTTGGGCGCTCGCAGATCCTCGAGGCAGCCACCAGGCTCAGTGGCCACGGATATCTTGATGTTGCAGTTGGTCGAGGCGTGACAGCCGGACATTGGCAGCGGCTGGTGGGGATGGGGAATCGGCTGTTGAATCGTCATCGACGGGGGCGCTCCTGGCGGCGCATGGGAGGCCCTGTAGCTGAGATTCGGTGTGCGCTGGCCCATGCTGGCCATTCCGGGCGGCATCTGGCTGTGGGTCATGCTCAGCGTGGGCGGGACACTCAGCACGGTGGCACCCGTCTTCTGGGCATGCTGATGGGCGTGGCCGGTGTACATCAGCTGGTGGGTGTCCGAGACCAGATTGTGGGCAGTGAGCTGTAGTGGATGCTGATCCTTGCGCTCTGCACAGGGAGATAAAGAGAGGAGGAATTTCTGTGTCAGTTGGCTACCATAAAAAAGCATCTCAAGGATGCACGGACCACGGACCGATGCGGTTGCGGACACGGAAACGGAAGTGCATTCGAGGGCATGTCGGCGATTGGTTTATCGCGCCCCCTTTCCGCACACACAATGTGCAGGCAGCCGTGAAGGTCTCAAGTGGTTGCACTTGCATCCTCCTGCCTCCCGCTGCCGCAAGGGGCTAATGTTGGAACAGGAGTTCCTGTGGGGATACCCTGGACGAGGGCTTGACAAGGAGACAAGAGGAGTTTCGCTTTCTTTTCTTTTCGTTTGAATATATTATTTATCAGGGTATTCTTCGATTCCCACAGCCCATGCCTTCCATTCTCTTATCGGAAAAACTTTTCCAGCGATTCGCAACACCACACTTGACCTGGCCGGCCCATTTTGTCTGGGACCCTTAATACAATGGCTCTCAAACTATGTGTGCGGTTTCAAGTGGGTTCAACTGCGTGAGCTTCACCTTTTACACTTGCCACTCCAGACCTATCTGTCCACAAAACTTTCAACCAAAAGGGGGAAAGGAATGGAGAGGGCTACTGGAGAGGGGCCATCACCATCATCATCAACTCACCGAGGGGCCCCAGAAGTTTCGGCTGGAGCGGCAGCATAAAGTCGTGGCCAGTCGTCGCCGCTCTGGGCTGCAGGCTCTGCACCGCCGGAACGCTCAAATAGTCCGCTGCAAAAATGGAAAAAGGGAAAAATGTCCAGCCAAGGAAATGCGTTAGTGCCGGGGCGAAAACAATGTAGCCATGGCCCAAGTCAAGGCAAAAGTTTCCCCCCACCACCCAGCCCAAAATAACGGAAAGAAAAGACACCAAAGAAACAAATAAAAAGTGAATCGGGGCGGGAAAGAGAGGAAAAACCCAAGTGAAGCAAATGCGGAGGCGTCTAAAAAACTTTAAAGAAGGCACGCAGCTAAGATTTTTGTCTTCTTTTTTTTTACACAGTATTTTGATAAAAAGTTGGTGGCAGGACACCAAACATAAAGCAGAAAACAAAAAAAAAAATAGAAAAAGTGCAGAAGTGAAAAGTTGCGAAATCATTTTTAATATTTTTAGATATATAAAAAATATACATATATATTTTATCATTTCCATCAAAAGTCCAGCAGAAAAGTTTCAACTTGTGATAATTGCGTAGGGAGGGGGGAAGGAGCAATGGGAGGTAGTAGAATCTATTTACAAAAACGTCAAGGCATAGTTTTGTAGGAAAATTTAAAGGAAAAAATAAAAAAGAAGTTTGGTTAAACTTAAGAAGTTTAAAGAAGAAATTTAAATAAAAATGAAATAGCTTTTAACGTTGTTAAAACAGTATATTAAGGTAGCAATAGATGCATATGATAGAACTAGATATATAAACTTTGAATCTACCAACATTATGGCATATTCTTCTCAGCCCTGCTCTAATTATGTTACACTAAGAGCTTATGAAATAAACGAGCCACAGAGCTCAATTTGTATTAAAAATATATGCCACAAAAGTTTCAGTATTAATAATTCACAGCTGTCTTAAAGTTCTGTGAGTTCTCGGCTATAGAATTTATTATGTAATTTATTTTAGAGCTTAGTCTTGCATATATACATATATATATTTTTGCAATACAAACAAAAACATTCTCTTAACTTTATTTGCCATAAAATATCACATAATTCCTTCAGCTTTTCTTCAAAATGCAAAATTTCTTCACTCAAGCAACAATCCATCAGCAAATGCCATCATCTTTTCAGTGGGGAGTGGGGCTTTGGGTGGGGGTTGCGGAAACTTCTGCAGCTATAAGTTGCTTGACATTTGTCAGTCTTTGAAGTGGTTTTCCCCTTCCAACTAACGATGAGGATGGGGCTGTGGAAATGATTTACTTTTGCAGTTGATGTTTGAGCGAGTGCAACAATTTTAAATATTAAAATTAATTTGCGCGAGCTCCTGCAGGGCAAGAGTCCTGCTGCCAGGAGTATTCCACCGAGCGGGTGAGGCAGGCAGATCGGTGGGTGGTGCAAAAAATAAATAGTAATGGCGGAAAGTAAAGCTCAACGGGGGGAATGAGGGTTGGGGTTTTGATTTGCCTTGCCTTGCGGATTCTTAACAGCCTTCTGCACCACCCACTGCCCACTGCCAGCTTTAATTGAAATTCCTGACCGTTGCTGCCTGCGGCACGGGTGTGTGCACTTTTGCCCCACTGTGCCCATAAATTTGTGTTCACGCCTCCTGCCTTGTGCCTCCTGCTGCCTTGTTCCTTACTGTGCCTGTGCCTGTGTGTGCGTGTGCCTAATGACCACTAGAAGCCCCTGAAAATAACCCTGTAGCAGCAGGGCTGCTGTGTCTGCGTCTAGGTCGGCTGCCTGCTAATGATTTAGTTGCTATTTTTGTGCCCGCCTTCATTTGCATGCAAGAGTGGTGAAAGCTTGGGGGGCCCGAACACCTCCACATAATGCAAAGCAGCTCAGACTTTGACTCAAAAGAAGTGGGGGGAAGCCGGAACCCCTGCCAAATGTCAGCGGCACCTGCACTTCCGGCTAACAGCGAAACGTCATTTTGCCACTCCTCCCACCCGACATTGTGGCGCCACGAGACGTGCCAAAGTGCACACCGGAAATGGGGCAAGTTGTGTCTTTTAAGCGGCTTATAAAAGTTTCCTCTCCCCACTGCACTGCATTTTGCACGTAGCAGCGGAACAATGAAAACACTTTATAATTACATTTTTTTTTGGGAAATTTGTTAGGAATTTGTCAAGGCAAGGAATTCAGTTTAGGAGCTAAAATAGAGCAAAGAAAACTTTCAACTGGCACAAAACTATGCTTAAAAGTGGCATGAAAATTCCTAGAAAAAAAAGTCAGTTCTAGAAGAGTTTTAATTATAAAGGAGGCTGAAAGACTGGCTGGAAGGAGCTCCATTTTCGGGGCACAATCTTTGGTTAAAATATCGCCAGGGCTCTGCCGCTTTTCCGATTAGTCCCTGCGTAATCCCTCATTACATTTTTCTCGCCCCTTGGCCATGTCTAACATTTAAACAATTTTCAGCCAGGCAACTTTCGACTTTCCACTGGATTTTCTTTTACTTTTTCTTGCAGTTTTTATGAGCTTGCAAGTGGCTCAAGAAATTAATCGCCTTCAGAGCCGCAAAACTGCCTTCCGCTTGGCCGTTTCCACCCCTTTTTCTTTTTCTTCCTCCTGAAGTTTTCCTGAGCGAAGTGAGTCGAGTCGAGGCACGGACTTGCACCCTTGAGCCTTTGTGGGCTCTTTAATTAAAATGCACTTCATGCTGCACAAAAAATTTCCACACAGCCAGCGCATTTTCCACATTATACATATAAGTGGGCAGGTATTATTTTTTATTTCGACAGGTATTTTTTCACACGTGGGGGGGTTAGATTATTTTCCAGTGCTTTTCCGCTGGACGGGGCACACGGACGGGTCCAGCAAATGGAAAAACTTTTTCAATTTGTTTGACGATAAATGGAGCGAATACTTTTGGGTGTGACTGTGTGTCCATTTTGAAATATGACATAAAAAGGATTTTCGGGAGAGCATAATAAAATTGCAATTAAAGTTAAATGCCCGAAAATAAAAAGGAGTTGAGTTTTCTCCTGCTCCCCCTCGAAAAGCTTTTAATATGCAAATAAACGTAAAAAGTTTTGTCTCATTTTTTTTTTTTTTTTGGGTTGTGTATGGAGGCGGTAAGGTGGGTGGGGTTCCTCCTCTTTTATTGACTGCGTCGAGTGACAAAGTTATGGCACTCGAGTAGAATTTATAGCATGCGATAAATTTTAACAAGCCAAAAAGGAGGGGCATGCCCCCCCGACTAATTGTAGCAGGCACATAAAAAGTTCTTATGCAGACATTAAAAGGATATTTCCTTATTTTTCGCCTACAATTTTCCTACACGTGCGGCATGCAGCAAAGATAGGGGGGGGGGAGAGAGACAGAGACAGATACAGATACAGAGAAAAAGTGAGACATGTGGAGAAAGAGAGGGGGGGAGAGCAAGAGACAGGACTACTACACTTACAACTGATGAACGAGGGACCGGCTGAGGCTGCAGCAGCAGCCGCGGCGGCGGCAACTGTGGCCACAGCTGCTGCCGAGACGCCGGTAGGTGACGTCATCGTCGATGCATAGCCAGGGGCATGGGCATGGCCATGGGCATGAGCATGGGCATGGCTGTGGGCGTTGTGGGGCTGCTGATGAGCCAGAGGCACTTGATAGGTCGTTGTCATCGCTGTCGCTGTCGCTGTCGGAGCCGTCGTCGTCGCTGGCTGCGGCGTTGGCGGCAACGTTTGCCTATGCGGATGTGGATGCGAATGCGGATGCGGATGCGTATGCGGATGGTTCAGGCCAATGACATTGACGCCATTCACGTTCACAGTGCCTGCCAGGTTGCGGTGGTGGTGGTGGTGGTGTTGATGGCGGTGGTGGGTGGGTCAGCACGCACAAAGGACATAGACATAGACATAGACATATACATAGACATAGACATAGACATACATATATACGAGTACATACAACATGTAGACACACACACAATTAAACATAAATATATATTTATGTAATTTATAATACGATTTTACACGAATAATAATAATCCAACATCAAAGAACAAATCAAGGAATTAAAATAGCAAAAAGGCAGCAGCAGCCACATCAAAGTCGAATGGAAATGTACGAGCGGATGAAGTTTCAATTTGTAATATTAGATAAATACCCAAAGACATAAACAACACAAAAACAGCTCAAAGAACACAAAGAAAGGATTAAAGATTGATTATACTTTTGTGTTAAATTAAAAGAATTATTAAATGAACAATTGGCATGAGAAAAGTGTGAATAAAAAATCATTTGAGATACTTTTATTAAGTGCCATTTAATAAGGATCTATTGAGAATATATTTCTGGATTTTTAAGCCCCATAGAGAGCATAATCTTTACTCTTCTAGCTTCTTTACTGATTTACACGTTATTCTCATAGAAATCTAAAAAAAATCTCATCAATCTTCTCTTTCAATCGCTTTTCTTAGGGTTATTCTTCACCCTTGCATTTTCCAGCTTAAATCCAAATAAAACTTAATAACCTTCTATATTCTAGTAATCCCTGAACCCCCTACAGCCAGCACGCTACTCTTTCATTGAACCAGAAACTTTTCTCTGCAAACATTAAAATATATATTTTCTCTCCTGAATAAACAACATAAATAACCGACACTAGATCTTGTGCCACAAATCCAATCATTAATGGACTCAGCAGCCAGCTCTGCTTGAGACTGGAGTTGTCTCCCAACATGAGAGCATTAAACAAACGCAAAGAGATTATAAATCCTAGCAGGACATTTATAACAGATTTATAACCTTTCAGTAAATTTCGCAATTTCTTAAGAACAAATTTCCACTGCAATTGCAGTGCTTGCTGATGCAGTGAGCTGCAGGGAGCTGCAGGAGGGGAAATCTGGTGTCTTGGATGAGCGCATGATTTATCAACTAAAGTACTGCTGCCCGGAGGCGCCACCACATCACATGTGCTGCCTGCCTGACTGCCTCTGTCCTTGTCCCCTGAATCTGGCCCTCACTCTGGCACTGGACCTGGACCTGGTTCTGCTTCCGTCCGGAATGCTTTTGAATAATCAGTAAAATGGAAATTCACCGCATGGAAGGACCCCAGGGGCGCCAGAAACAGGACTCTCCAGAGATCGGGGAGCTGGCGGTAGTAAATGCTAAATAACAGCTGACTCCTCGCCCACTGAAGGGTGCATAAATAATAAAATAATTAAACAAGAAATTGAATGAAATTAGTTTGGCCCCCAGGAGCAAGATAGGAGAGAGCCGTGGTTGGGGTGGAGGGGAGTGCAGTACAGCAGAGCATATGTATCTGTGTGTGTGTGTTAACTGTTTGCAGTGGGTGTCTGTGTGCGTTGTCGCTGAGGCTGCTGCTCTAAACATCTGCAGGCCAAAAAAGCAAAGAAAAAAAAGGGACACAAAATTATAAAACAACCAAAAGAGAGCGAGGGGAAGATAGAAGAGCATACAGCATATATAGTCGTGTCTTCCGACCATGAGGTACCCATTAATTATATATTTTTACAGGTTTTAGGCGTAAATAATTATCCAATCATAATAAAAATGAGAAATTAGGTGTATAAAGTCCTCACAAATGACTGTAGAGCGTTATATCTGTAGCATTGTGGATGCCATCGAATTTTCACATAGTAAAAAATCCATTAAATATTCCACCGGACAGACATATCTATTATTCTCCATAGCTCTGCCTCCAGCAAGGGGCAGCATTTTGTTGCATAATTCGTTTTGGGTACTCACCAATTTTAGCACCACCGAATGCATCCTTGAACATGGGCGCTGCCGCCGCTGGGTGGCCCGCAGCATGGCCCATGCCTCCTAACCCACCGCCAGGCGGGGGACCTCCGCCACCCATCATTCCCGGCACAGTGGGCGGCGTTTGCTTAATGGCGTTCGTCCGTCCGCGATGCGGGGCTGTTGGCTCCCGCTTGCGACGCGGCTGCTCCACGGGCAGGACACGACGCCGCTTCTTGGGCAGCTTGGAGCGGGCCTGTGCACAAACAGGAGGGGAGTAAAGAGTAATTCAAAGGGAGGAGACGTCCTGCGTCCTGCACACTCACCTGTGTGTGGGAATAGAACATGGAGAAGTTGCTAACGATAACAGGTACGGGCAGGGCGATGGTCAGGACACCAGCGAGGGCGCACAGGGCGCCCACAAACATTCCCGGATAGGTTTTGGGCGCCACATCGCCATAGCCGACGGTGGTCATGGTCACAATCGCCCACCACAGGCCCAATGGGATGCTCTTGAACTGGTTGTCCGGGTTGTCCTGTCGGAGTGAAGAGAGGGGGGGGTGAGTAACAAAAGCCATCAGCAGATAGGAATACTCTCAAAGGAGTCACCTGGCACCTGGCAACTGGCAACTGGCAACTGCCACCTGCCACTCACTCACCTGCAGCTTCTCGGCATAGTACGCGAGACTGGCAAAGAACACGATGCCCAGGACGAGGAAGAAGACGAGCAGCGTTAGCTCCTTGGCGGAGGCCTTGAACGTGTGGATGAGAATGCGCAATCCGGGCGAGTGGCGCGTCAGTTTGAACAATCGCATTATCCGCACGATGGAGAAGGCCTCCAGGAGGCCCGTGTACTCGCCCATGCGCTGCATCACGTCCGTGTAGAAACTCAGCGTGGCCGTAAAGTCAATGATGTTCACTGGCGATTTGATGAACTGCCACAGATTCGGCGACACCTACGGGAGCAAGTGGGGGAGTTGCAGTGGGGTATACCGAGTAGGGCAGGCAGTAAGGAAGGCCCTCGAAACACTTACAATCAATCGAATGAGCACCTCAATGAAGAACCACACATTGCACACCAATTCCACGTAGAAGAAGGCCTCATGGGGCTGGCCGTAGGTCTCGACCCAACCGTGCTGCCTTCGGCCATTGTTGCCCAGCAGCTGATCCCCGATAAACTCATTTATGGCACTCCCGTTGAGGTCTCGTTTCAGGCGCTGCCGCTGGCCGCCCTTGATGCTGGCTATGGGCGTGGCCTGGGCGGCCGTGAAGTTGCCGCTGCTGTAGCTGGTGTAGTTCGTGACACGAAAGGTGGGCCCAATGCTGCCGCTGGGCGGCGTAATGCTATGCTGATGATACTGATGCGTCGTCTGTGGCGGCGGTTCGCCCAGTGGGTCATGGCCATGCGGATGGGTGCCGCCGCCACCAGGGCCACCACCAGGACCACCACTGTGTCCATTGTGAGTGACGGGCAGATCGACACGGAAGCCGGGATGGGTCTTCAGACAGAATGATATCACAGAAACAAATATAAAGAAAACCGACATGCCAGCAACGATCTAAAGGAGAGAAAACAGATCTTAAGTATTTGCTTAAGATGGTAAGCTTTGTGGGGGGGGGTCCTACCTTCGCCCCTGTGGAACTTGAGGGCTCATCGAACATGGCCCAGATCTTGGGTTTCAGCCGTTGCCAGCAGTTAAGCTCGCCGTTGCTCAATGCCTCCTCAAAGCCAAATAGACGGGCTATCTGCTCCTCCGTGGGCTTTTCATTTTCAATATCTAGCTTATCTAATATGGCTAAGGTGTTCTATAGAGGGGGGGGGGGGGATGAGAGGCATATTATTTATATATTTTATTCCCTGTGCATCTGTGTCACTCACTTGCGTATCGCGATGTATGCTGTAGGTGGACCAGCAGCAGGGCTCTACCTGATTCGAGTCGAGGCCCCAAAACTCCAGCTCCTCCTCGAATAAAGGGCCACACACATCGGTTGGATAGTGCAGCTTTCCAGTTCTATTAGGCAGAGATAACAACAGATAATAAGAGTTAATTAAACCTTAATTGAGTATAGATTTTGTCTGCCTTTATGTACCAAAGTCTGATGAAATCTTCGGCCAATTTCTTGGCCTCAAATTGGCCCATCTGTAGCAGGAGATTGTTCGGTCTGCCGTTTGTGCGAGTATCAAGCAATTAATGCAACTCCCCCTGCAGTGTCCAAGAACAAATTCCTGGACTTTAACCTGCATTCCGTTTAAGCCACATCAGTCCGTTGAACAGTCTCCTTTCTCCGTATTATTATGACCAAAATGGCACGTCTGACATTGTGGCTACAAATTGCGGAGAAGTGCAGGACCATTCGTATCCATTGCATATATGCATGGCAGGTAAATGTGTGGATACTCGACATTCAGCTGCAGGAGGGGGAGGGGTAGGGGGAGGGGAGGACTACCCCATTGTCCCCTTTCTACCCGGCAGCCCCGTGGCATATTCATAATGCTGCTGCTGCTGCTGGTGCTGCCTTGGCCGTTGTTCCATTCGTGTGGCCATCGTGTGGCACAGCTCATGGCCCTTGTCTCCGGCTCCCCCTCCTCGTGCCCCTCCTGCATGTGCAACAATTTGTGCACCCTTTCAAATGGGCACAATCCCTTCCACTACATCACATCCCTTGCAGGAAAACAAAGGGCATCCACCGCTTCGGCGACGTGACCCTTTCCTTTCTTCTGGCCGCTGTGTGTGCAAATTGCAGTAAATGGCTGCCGCAAAAAGAGAGGGGGGAGTGCGGATGGACCTCGGTCCTTGTCTGCAGTTGTTGGCCAACTTGTAATGCCATATCAGCTGCTGGACAGCCATGAGAGCTGGCACGGTGGGCGTGGCGGCAAGTCCTTGTCTTGTTTTATTTTTGGATGATATCTCTACTCCCTGCCCCACACACACACACACACACACACACACACAGACACATGTGCAGCACGTGTGCATATCCTGAATGTCCCTTCTTTTACATTCGGTTTTTTGTGTGCAACTTTTTCGCTTTCGTGTTGGTTGGCAGCGCTTTTGTGCGCTTGTTAAAAATCATTTCGTTACACGGGGAATGCCTTGGACAAAAAAATATTACACAGACAAAAAAAAACCCAAGAAAAACTCGCGCACTATCTGCACGCCCCCCACCACCACCCCCGCTATCCAGTGGGGGAGTGGTGACTGCCTGCGGACTTGCAAATTGCGGATTCCATGATGGGAACCGAACCTGATCCTCCTGTTCGAGGTTCTGCCTCTCCACCCAGCGACTTTGACATTTTGACACGACCGCTGGAAAATTTGCACGGTCATTTTAATGGCAGGAAAATGTATCTATTAAATACCCTGCCAAAGGTGGCAAGGGATTGTGGAAAGAGCAGGGAATGATAGTGGCTCGGAATGAGTTTGTTGGAAGTGAAAATGGAATCACTTTACACTTCATAAAAATGTTCAAAGCACTTCAAATATATCCAGCGTTCAGCATTCAGCATTCATGCATGCTCCTATTCCGTACAGAGTATCGCTTAGTCGCAGCTTTTATCTTTACCTTTATCTGCCAGCATTCTGTACTTTTTAATCTCTCGAAGTGCGCTGCAGTCATTGTCAGGGGCTTTCTGCCATAATTCTCTTGCGCGCTGTCTCCCGCGGATCGGTAATTGGTTTCCGCCATAAAAACCACTCAACAATTCCCGCCTGCCACCCACCTTTACAACATTTTCGCTGTCCCCCAAAAACTAACAATTTTGGTCAGGTTTTCGCTGCTGGCCTTTGTCCCTTCATTTCATCAAGTGTCCATGCAAAATATAGCCCATACGCAGCGGTTGCCAGCGATGCAACCAATATATAATCAATATTTATAGCTGACCTGCCGAGTGGCCCACATGCACCACCAGCCACCACCGATCAGCCGCTTAACTGTGCATAAACAATGACCCATCGATTGGGTCTCCACGCGACCCTTGCGACTTTTGCTTTAATTTCGTGTGCAAGAATGGTGGGAAAACAATGGACAATGGCTGACGCCCAAAGGACAAGCTGGAGGTCTGTGCTGCAGTGCCAAGCTGCGAAAAGTCATTATTTGCAGTGTAAATTGTGCTGATTACGGAGCTTACAATAAGAAAAGCAACAGCTTTTAATGGACTGAAAGCAGAGCTCTGGGTGGAGTTTACATTTTACTTTACTTTTGTATCTGTTTCCTCCACAGAACCACAGAACCTCTCCTTCAATAAATATCCCTAAAATATATTTTACTTAAAATTCCCTCAATATTCCCTCATTTCCCCTAATCATCACCACCAGCATCCAATCGATAAGAAATCGATAAAGAAACGCAAATTATCGCACGTTTCTGCCGTCTAATTTGTGCTGCACCGTCAATTCCATTCCACTCAGCTTTTATCAATATGAATGTGAAATCCTCCTCTGGCACAGAGAAATTGTGTGTGGCTTTTGGTGCGTGCATAATTTGATTATACAAACCCCCAGCCCCTCCCCAGCATAATGGTGATACGAAGGGGCATTCTTGCACCCTCGAGGACTCAGTTTCATATCCAATCAACCCTGGATGCTGCACCGTTTTTTTTTCTCTCCTGTTTGCCCTCTTTTGACACCATTTTCCGTGGAGTTTGGCGGGGCTGTGTGTGGGGGGGTGCCTGGTTAATTGAGTTGGAAAACTGTTTGGCCAAAGACCCGTGAGCTATGGGGTGGGGGGATGGTTGGTGTGGGTGTAGCTGTCCAATCAATGAAGATGTAACCATGGGATGCTGCTGACAGCGCTGTACCTTCATTTGCAGCATCACCCAGCAACCAGCAGCCAGGAGGTGTGTGCGCTGGCAGGGCGCTGAAGATGGCCAAAACAAAGTTTCATTAATTTTAAACAACTTAAGTCATTGCGGGAGCGAAGAGAAGCGCAGCGCAGCGCAGCCAGGCCCCAAAGATAAATGAGCCCGCTAATGACCCGCAAAGGAAAAATGTTGTATCAACTTTTGCAGCACCAAAAAGTTGCGAGATTAATGTTGAGTCCTGCTGTGGGAAGGGGGGTTTTGTTTTTGCAGCAATTAAAATATTACTTTGTTTATTCATCGGGGGAAATTGGCCCAGCCCGGCCCGGCTCCAATGTGATGTGTTTGTTGAGTGCCATTAATCAGCAGAGGAATCATTGCAGTTAAAGGCAAACAGAAATTGAAATGCCAAACATCCTTCCAGCTTAAATGCTGTAATTACCATTCAGGGGATAACTTTCTCCTCGGCTATTCCCGCCCTCATTTCAGAGTCCTTGCACGTTTAAGCAGCTTTCGCCGACAGCAACTTAATTAGGATTTCCCCCCTCTCGGATGGACTCACCTGTAATAGTTGAGGATTTGGGTGAACACACCGGGATGGCGATCGAAGAAGTATTCATTGAGCACCGGATCGTAGTTGGCCAGCGCTTCGGTCAGTCGGGAGAGGCGTGTTGCGGGGATTTTCTTGAGCGTTGCCTTGTAGGTTTCATATCTGCAAAAGAAGCAAGGAAAGAGAATATAAATTATGTGCGGCATGGCAGGGCATTTGCATGGGAACTACTAATACGCAATGCGCATACGCCATGTGGGCCAGGGCCGGAGCCACCTAATAACTTAACAAATTACTTAAGCCATAACTCCTGACCCTCATTCTTGCCACGGCAAACCCAATTCTGTTTGCCTCCGACTCTGAAAGAGAGCCATAAAAAAGGGAGTAGCGTGGGCATTGAGAGCACTGCAAAGGGTCAAGCAGCAAGTGTAAGCAAAAACCCCCCAGCCATAAGCCATTTGCATACATTTCACTTCAGTTTTTGCCCATCTCCTGGTTGGCCCTTTTTTTTCCTGGAATTTCCTCTGGTTTTTCATTCGTTTTTTGTTGGTTTTCGCTTTTTGTGTTCTGCGCCAAAAGTGGGGCTAGAGTTTCCTCCTTTGTTTGATGTAACCTTTGACAGGCAGATGATTACCGCACAAAATTGATGGATTTTCAACTTATTCTTTGTGGAATTTGTTGATCTTTCGCCTAAGCAAACGAAAGTCAATCTACAACTTTTACTCGTGGCAGGGGGTTGGGTGTTTTTTAATGGCCTCAAATATGGTAATAATGCCATGTGGGAACGAACATGTGGCTGGCATATTAAAATGGTATTATTTAACAGCCAGCAACCCCTGTTCGATTGCAATTAAATATTTGTTAAGTATTTCAATTAATATGAAAAGGAATAAATCAAAGGCATCTTTTTCGGAAGTGCATTTCAAATATTTCAAATCTATTTTGCAGCAAAGTTCCATCATCATTAACATTCCTTTGAGGCCAGCGAAAGCATTCCATTCCACTCCAATGGAAATAATGTTTGTAAATTATTTCAAATTATTCGCGCGCCCTTTGAGAGCATCAATGAAACAGCAGGGGAGCTACCGAATGGCAAGAAGTATCGGTGTTAATTATATTCCCACCTCGATTACGCACCTGCAACAAACTAACACACACAGACACACACACACATATCAACCAGCCGCATGAAAAGCAAACTTAATTTACGTAATCATCCATAAAATTATACGAGTACTCGCACTCGCACTCGCATGTGGAAGGAAGGAAGGACAACAACGTCAACGTCAACAGTCAACGACTCCCAACAGGCGTAATTAAATTCAATTGAAAGTCATTTCCAACAATTTGTTGTAAATTTCATTCTGCACATTTATAACCCACACACACACACACACACATTGGGGAGGTGGGGGTTGGGGTGGCTTCGAAGAGGGTCCTGCAATCACTGACATTTAAGTGCGTGTCCTGCAGAGACCAGAGCTGGGTCCTGCTGCTGCTGCTGAGTTGTCCATATTGAATGTGATTTTTATGCCAAACTGTTTGTTCTCTCTCGTCGGTTATTAAATATTTCATTCCGCTGAGGACAGCAGCATCAGGAGCATCAGCAGCAGCAGCAGCAGCCACATACCCATCCCATGGTCATCCGCAGCAGAATCATCAATAACAGGGACCGACGCATAACAATAGCCATTAAAGTTTATTTCGGCTGTTTGACGATGGTAATTGGCCCCGACTCGAACGCAAACGCAGACCCATACGCAATGTTTACTCAACTCCGATTCCAAATTGCATAGCATTTTCATGCATCGAATTAGTTTTTCCAGTCAGTGATTGGATTTTCTGTGTGTTTTGTTCTGCTGCTGATTTTGATGCTGGCAAGCGTTGATTCACTTGACAGCTGCGCTGAGCTTTCAATTTACGAGTGGGAATAATACATTTACGAGTACGAATACGAGAACGAAAACCACCAAGCATTCGACAAATTGTCCTAAATCTCTTTTAATGAATTATGGACAAACAAAATCCATTTGGGGGCCATCAATTTCGAGGGTTTTATGTATTTTCGCTTGACAGCCGAAAAGTAGGCAAAGGGCAATTAATATTTTGAGTGGAAGTGGAAAAATATCACAATAAAGAGTGGTGGAATATTATAGAGAGTGAGATTGCCAAGAATATTGATTGATCGACACAAATAAATGCTGATAAGTTTTTTTACACAACGAGTATATTTTATTTGCTTGGGTTTGAATTTAATTTCCTGATATTATGAAATTCTTCAGATTTCATCTCTTATCTGAATAAACTCGCAATTCATCTTGGAAATATATTCCACAAGTTTCTTTTTCTGCATAAATCATATGCTAATTTATTTCTGTTTTTACTTGCCAGCGATAATCTGTCACTGTACCAAAAAAAATAATAAACAATATTATAACGAGTACAGGGAAAACTGTCTGGAGTGCACACCCACTTCTTCTGTTATTGTTGTGCGCTCGCAGATCTTTCACTGTATTCCCGCTTTTGCATACGAATTTCGGATCCACATGCAAAGGCAATTTATTTAATGGATTTTTGTTCATACTTTTATTTATAAGTTTTGTTATTGTATTCCCATTCTAGGGTCGGCACTTGAGAGTGCTTTTCATTCTCTTCCCCACTCAAGAAATACTTGCGCTGCTCTCTTCTATCCCACTATCTTGTTATGTCTAGCTATCGCACTCTCGCCAGCATTCGTCATTATCAGTAGGGTCTAGGGATGTGGGTCTCAAAGGCTCGAAAAGAAACTTTATAAAAACTCGTGAACACTAACTATCTCCCCCATGGCATATTTGTATATTATATTGTTGATTTATATTTTTTAAATTTATTTTTTTTTTGTGATTTTTGTAACCGTGAGGCTGCCACGTGTCACGCACTCATCTCTGCGGCGACACTTGAATTATTTCCTCGTAGGTTTCGCGAGAGGCAGCGTTCAGGCAGCTTTACAGTTGCCCGTGGACGGCCGTGCCTTCAACTAGTTTTCGCTCCTGCTCCGCTTCCGTGAAAAGAAAAATAAATACACAATGCAGCGCGTTCTGAAGACCGGTGGCGCCCTGTTGCGTTCACAGAACAAGAACTTTGCCGCAGCTGTGGCCCACTACTCTGCTCTGCCCCAGCCCCAGACCACCCCGGAGGTGCTCTACACCGGAGTAAGTGCGCAAATGAATAATAACTAATAATACAAGAAAGTGAAAACGCGCTTATCGCGAATAAGAACCAATAAAGACTGCAAAACGCGTGCCAACATGTTTTTGACTTGACCTTGAGTCTTCGGACTGCAGCTGAAATCGCTCTGCGTGCTCTGCTCTCTGCTCTCCGACTCTGGGTTTTCGTTTTCTACTCATTTCTAATGCGCTATAAACGCAAAATCAGGTTTTAAAGTTTTCATGTTTTGGTTTTTGCTTCCTTTTGTGGCTACCCAATAAAAAAATAAAAAAAAATTTGCAAATAAACAGGGCTCCAACCCGCACAACATTCAGTTCACGTACACACCATATATAAATGCTTATCAATGGGGTAGCTGTAGGGGATTAAGACAACAAAGCGGCCGGAACGTACGACCGGCATAAAATAGACAAAAGAGAATGCAAAAGCAAAAAACAGTCGCCGGCTGTAGTTGTTGTTGTTGTTGGCACTAGGTACAGCTGCTGCTACTCTCTCTCTCTCTCTCTCTGCTGCTGTTGCTCTCTGAAATTGTTGGGTATTAAAGGGGTATCACTATTATAGAATGCTTGAAACGCACGTAAGAATTATAATAGCTTGTGCGCATAATTGGTTCCTTGTTGTAGATAATTATCATATGTAGTTTTCCACGTGTTGTCCAAAGCTTTGCCAAACTTAATCGGAATCGAATGACATCATATATCTAATTTGCCAGGGTATCAAAGCTTCGACGCATGCTGCGGTTCATATGTGCTGCTTGCCTGCTGCTGCTGCTGTTATTTTCCATTTCTTAGTTATGTCACAGCGTCGCTGAATTGCCAAATGTTCTCTCAATATCGCTCTGCTCCTTCTTCTCTCTCTGTCGCGCTACATGTTTTGCGGTTTCTTTCCGCATTTACTGTTTGTATGCTTATGCCGCGAGGGAATTTTGCATAAATTCTACGATTTTACAAGTTTGCTCGTGTTTTTTGTGCCTTGCGCGACAATTAGAGCCCCGGCGTTCGTTAGATTTAATTGGAATCAGTGTGGGTTGGAGAGGGGGGTATGGTGTGTGGTGATGAGTATTCCCATTTAGATATGGCAGGGCATTTGCAATAATGCCAGCATATGGGAGTGTAAGCGCCATAAGTAGAGCGGGAATGGGGGGAACTTTGTCTGAATATTGATTGGGAAATTATTATTTTCGTCGAACGAAAGAGAGAGAGAGAGGAGAGGAAAGAGAAAGGATCAGCTGTTCATGTTCCGCCTATCGATGGAATTTTTATTCGCAGAATGATGACCAGATTATTAACTGTGGAAAGAGCAACTTTATTTTCATTGACAGGAAATTTCCTCAAATTATTAATAGATTTGTTAGGAATATGAAGAGTAAACATTTTGTGGAACGAAAGTCGATTTAGATCGAAAATTGAGCAGTGGGCTGTTCTACTAAGGCCTATCAGCTAACAAACCTCTCAAATATCAGTCTGTTTGGCAACAAAAAAAAAACACTCGATGTCTCAACATATGTACTTAATGCTTTCTTATCGGTTGATTCACTCTCTGTTTATGGGTTTTATGCCATGCCTTATCACAAAAAAAAACTCTAAAGACTGCCACTAGCTCGAGAAGGCAAGTCTAAAGCTTTGCAGATAACATAATTTTTAATTTAAAACAAAAGCAGGCCCCTAAACTAGTTCTCGATCGTCTAGCCAAGCCCAGACAGGCATACATACATATACATATGTAAATATACATACGTAGCTCTACACGTGTATGTTTTGCAAATCATTTCCAACTTTTGTGGTCTGATGGAAAGTTTTATATAGTCGAACGCGTGAGACTACAGATAGATTCGATTGTAAAATTAAAAAAATAATAATAAAAGGTACTACATCTTGGGGAGATGGCGTGCGAGGTAGATAGGGCGTCATTTCATTTCAATTCTAATCAGTTAACCGGTAAACGTTTCTGATTACACAAAAATAGGGGCAGGAGGGGGGCATTATCGCTGTTGGTAGCCCACATGCTTACTGAACGTTCAGATGATTATTCAATGGGGTTGGGGCTCAGCAGCAGTCCGAGGGCTCATCAAATTGAGGTGCGGCATTCATTGAAACTTTGTACGAAATATGAACAGAAAATGCAATATGCCGGATTATGGAAATGATATGATAGGAAATAAATAAATGCACCTGCTGTATTCTAACGATTATCTCCCTTTACAGCTGTTCATCAACAATGAGTGGCACAAGAGCAAATCGGGCAAAACATTTGAGACCATTAATCCGACCACAGAGCAGGTCATCGCCGAAATCCAGGGTGGCGATAAGGAGGATATCGATATTGCCGTAAAGGCTGCCCGCTCGGCCTTCAAGTGAGTATTGGAGGAGGATTTCGAACGAATAGATTTATGTGATTTATGATTGTATTTATTTTGTGCATCGCAGGCTGGGTTCCCCATGGCGCCGAATGGATGCTTCGGAGCGCGGTCGTCTGCTCTACCGCTTGGCGGACCTTATGGAGCGGGATCAGGTCTACTTGGCTGTAGGTTTTTAGATTTAACCAAATTCCATTTGCATGATAGTAATCAACTGTCTTCCTTTGGCAGAGTTTGGAGACCCTGGACAATGGCAAACCCTACAGCATGTCCTACAATGTGGATCTGCCCACAGCCATCAAGAATCTGCGCTACTTTGCCGGCTGGGCCGACAAGAACCACGGCAAGACGCTCCCCATGGACGGTGACTTCTTCGCGTACACCCGCCACGAGCCTGTGGGCGTGTGCGGTCAGATCATACCCTGGAACTTCCCCATTCTGATGATGGCCTGGAAACTGGGACCCGCACTGGCCACCGGCAACACCATCATCCTGAAGCCGGCCGAGCAGACCAGTCTGACGGCCCTGTACATTGCCCAGCTGATAAAGGAGGCTGGCTTCCCGGAGGGTGTGGTCAATGTGGTGCCTGGCTTCGGTGGAGCCGGCGCTGCCCTGGCCAATCACGCCGATGTCGATAAGGTGGCCTTCACAGGCTCCACGGATGTGGGCAAGCTCATCCAGCTGGCTTCCGGCAACACGAACCTCAAGCGCGTGACTCTGGAGCTGGGCGGCAAGTCGCCCAACATTATTCTCTCCGACACGGACCTGGACTACGCCGTGGAGACGGCCCACTTCGGTCTGTTCTTCAACATGGGCCAGTGCTGCTGTGCCGGCTCTCGCACCTTTGTGGAGGACAAGATCTACGATGAGTTCGTGGAGCGCAGTGCGGAGCGCGCCAAGAAGAGGACCGTGGGCAATCCCTTCGATCTGAAAACCGAGCAGGGTCCCCAGGTCAACGAGGAGCAGATGGACAAGATTCTCGGCATGATCCAGCAGGGCAAGCAGCAGGGCGCCAAGCTGGTGGCCGGCGGTAGCCGTCCCGATGGCCTTCCCGGCTACTTTGTCCAGCCCACGGTGTTCGCCGATGTCCAGGACAACATGACCATTGCCCGCGAGGAGATCTTCGGCCCCGTGCAGCAGATCATACGCTTCAAGAAGCTCGACGAGGTCATTGAGCGTGCCAACAACTCGGAGTACGGCCTGGCCGCCGCCGTCTTCACCAAGGATCTGGACAAGGCCAACTACATTGTGGGTGGACTGCGTGCCGGCACTGTCTGGGTGAACACCTACAATGCCCTGGCCGCCCAGGCTCCCTTCGGCGGCTACAAGATGTCCGGCCATGGCCGTGAGAACGGCGAGTATGCGCTTTCCAACTACACAGAGGTCAAGAGCGTCATTGTGAAGGTGCCACAGAAGAACTCCTAAGAAGGGAGTCATACTGGACAGGGGTGCATCCCGTTTAGGTGCTCTAAATGCCGATTTCAACCTCTTTGGTTAGCCTTAAGCTCACATTTACTCGATCTACAATTTCTATATTAGACATACGATATGTTTCCGATATGGAATAGATTCGTAGCCAGTCGTCGTTGGCCAGTCTCTGTGTTTATTTTCCATTCGGTTAAATTCTGTTTAAGTGTAAAACTATTTTGAAATACAAAATTTTTAAAGAAAATCAAATCTCTCTTTACACTCTCCTCCGTCCCTCCTTTTGCATACATTTTCTTAGCTTAGCCCATAAGTCTAGTCTCATGTTCACATGCTATGTAATCGAGTGGCTTTTTATGTATGATCCCGTGTACAAGGAGCTTGTATTCCGATAGCTTCTTGGTTGGCATGGTTTATGGCACACTTTGAACCGAATGTCATTATTTTGCTTATCCGCCAACACAACACACAGGAAGTGCAAACAAAAGCCACACTGAGAGAAATATTGATTGCTTAGTTTTGCATACAAGACTGGTGAAGGAAGCTGTAAAAGCACTGAAAAACTAGCAGTAAAATAAGCTTAAATTTATTTGCATTTATTGGCATTTTCCTTCGTTTTGTTTTAGTCATACGTGTAGCTGTGTGTATGTGTGTGTGTGTGTTTTGGGGGATTTGCCAGTACAGACACAGCAGCAGCAGCAGGGACATCCCAGAGACACAGAGAGAGAGAGAGCGGTTGTGTCCATTAGATTGGACAGCAGCTGAGCGTGTCAAGTGCTTTGCGGTTGCTTTTGCTTTGCTTTTGGCTGGCTCGCTGGTTGCTGGTGTACAAGTTTTCCTCTTATTTTCCACTTTGTTTTCCGAAATTGAATAAGCGCATTTGTATGCAATTTATTTAAAATTTGTATTTCAATTTTTACAATGCCAGCAAATTGCTTTTACAACCCACCCTCCCGAGGCATCAGTAAATGCATTACGAAACGCAGAGGCCAAGCGATAGAGTGCAGCAAGAGAGACAGAGTCGGTTGCTTGATTTATTTATGGGCTTAGAGGGAAAAGTCCTGCAAAAAGTTTACATATTTAAGTGACAACCGGTGTGTGCAGCTCTCTCCATAGAGGACACACACACACACACACACTCGTACACTCTTAATTAATTGTGTATGATTTATGAATGTATTCATGAACATTTTTGCGCCATCCCCAAAATTCTTGGTAATTCTTTTTAAATGGTTTCCACGGACACGCTCATTTTTTATGCCATTTGAATATATTTCACACTTAATTCGATTTTTGCTACGTTGTCTGTCCCCCGCACCCCAAGCGAATCAAAGTGGAAAAATTGTATAAGCCCCACACGGCGTATACGCAATTATTGTATTCCTGCTTCTGAATTTTTCTCTTCTCTCTTTGCTGCTGGTTTTGTTTTTTTTTTTTTTTGGTAGGAGGGTATAAAGTTATTTTAAATTGATTTTCGCTTGGTATCCAGCCAGCATTTCATACATATTCAAATATGGAAAAACTAGCAAAGCAAAGCACCGAAAAAAAAGCGACTGGGGGAATGCCAGAGAGAGATAGAGAGAGAGAAAAACTGTTAAAATTGCAAATGATCCATGGGGCAATTTTAATACGCCCCAAAATGGCAGGTGGCCAAGAAGTGTGTATGTGTATGTGTGTGTGTGTGTGTGGCAAGTGGGTTAAGGGATGAACCAGTAACAGCAGTAGGAGTCGGAGTCGTAGTCGGAGTAGGAGTGGATAGGGGGGGAATGGGAATGATGATTGCCAAAAAGCGCAGCCGTGCGCATTGAGGCGCGTGCACAGGTGCGCTCGAGCGTTGTAGTTTTTAGTTCAGGCTCGAGTGCGGCCCATAATTGAAAATCATTTCCCCAGAGCGTGTGAGAGAGCGACTCGACTCGACTCCTGCCAGTCTTTGCTTTAATTATCCTGCCGCCGACGACCGCAAAAAAAAAAAAAAACTATAATTCAGAATTTGCACTTCATTCGCAAAGGCAGCAATGGGCCAATGGGCGTCCGTCCCAATTTGCCGCAATATACTCCTTGCTTGCCCGCACAGCATGGTGCACGGCCACTGGCACTGGCACGACAGTGGCCAAGTGCTCGGCAATTCGACTTTATCGCAGTGTGCACACTCGATTACATTGTTATGAGAGGCAGAATGGCATAGAGATTGGAGAATGGGAGATGGGAGGCCCAGGCCTGAAGAGGCAGCGCCAAATGGCTAGAAAAGTAACGAAACGAAAGCCATTGGGACACGGACAAGGACCAGGCAACCCATCAGCAGCAGTCCCATGCCAACACTTTGATCATTAGCCGGAAAATGGCCACGGACACGGCGCAGATAAGCCAAAAGGACAAATAAAGAAAAAATACCAGAGAAAATATAAAAAAAAAAAAACAAAAACAAAGCGGGAAAATATCAGAAAAACTGGAAAAAAATGCACTAAAAATCTAGAAAGAAAAAAAGCACATGGAAAAACGTTCAAGGCAGGAGCAGTAGTGTAAACAAAAGGGCTTAGGGGACAGAGCAAGAAGAGGGTGTAAAAGGAAAATTAGGGACGGGCCTGTCAGGGATTAGCAGTGTAAAAGCAGATCAAGACATTTTCCCCTGCCGCATCCCAAAGGCAAAAGCAAAAGCAGCTTAAATCCAGCCCCAAACACATACAAACCCCAAAAGTAGGCAGCACAAATTTTCAACACAAAATTGTTCACGCGTTTAAAATCGCGCCAAATCGCATGAAAAAACGCACCAAAACCGCTAAGCATCCTAAAGTGAAAAATTGAATTCAGATAAACGCGCCACGCACACACACACACACACACACACACACATAGAGATGCACACAATTGCAGCACACTTAACCCAATAAACTGCCTATAAAAGGCGTCTGTTGGATGTGTCAGCACTAAGCCTGCCCCTGCCTCCTCTTTCAGCCTGCTCTCTTTTCATGGCCTGTGTGCCAGAGCTCTCTCGCCTTTCGCCTTTCGCTTTTCCGCTTTCCCTATTACCTAAGTTAAGCAGGCTAAATGCTTTTACAGACACATTGCCATTTTATGGCTGTAATGCGATTTAGGCACAGTGGGATGGAAGAGCTCCAAACAGGCTTGGAAAAATAGGAGGAAAATGTGAAAAATATGTAGAGAATAGAAGAAAGAAAGTACAATAAATATATCGATAGGTATTTCGATAATTATCGCTTAAAATGTACTTTAAATCGGTTTACCGGAAATTTTCTACATTTTTGGAACTTCAATTATAAATAAAAAAGGGAAAGAGGGAAAAACAGGCTCGAAAAAGGGGGGAAGTGTATGTTCATGCTCCACCGGAACCTAGTTAGAAATTTCTCATCCTGTGGATTCATCCACAACGCAGGCAGTCGCTATCGATTTTCACGCCACATTCACGCTAATCGCATGAAAATGCGCCAAACTGCTGTTGCAGTCAATAAGGTAGAAAAATGTGGTAGTGCCACAGCAGCGGCAGCAGCGGCATGCAACATGCAGCAACAACAATAGCAGCAACGGCAATGGTGCAATAGCAGCAACAGGGATAACGATGACGGCTTTTGATGCCACTTCAAATGGAAACGTTGCGAGAAGGCATCATCCTCAGGCGGCGGCTCGGATTCAGTTTCAGGCGCTTCTGCCTTTTGTTGCATGCCACATCTAGCTGGCACACGACTCTGCCTCCAGTTACACATGTCGCAAAATGGAAGAGGCAGGCAGAGGCTGGCAGGCAGCACCGCAGCATCCCTCCCCCGCGTGTTTTTTTGTGTGCCGCGTGAGAGTCCGGAAATGTGCATAAAGTGGAAGTGTATTGCGCATTGGCGTGAGAAAAGCCATTGATGGGTGCCCCTGCCCCTACCACTGCCTCACTAGTGCTGCTGCTGCTACTGCTGGCGGGCAATGCCTGAGGCGCCACAAAAGCCAGACGGAGACTAGGAGCAGGCACTGGCACTGCATCATGGCCCATCAACATCGCCATAGCCATAGCCATAGCCATGGCTCTTGGCTATTAACTTGCTCAAATATTTGCTTAGGCAGCCGCGCTGCTGTTGCCTGCTGCTGCTGCCGCTGCACTAGACGCTAAAAACAGCAAACAAAGCCAACACAAAGCAAACAGCCAGAACACGGAATCTAACACACACACACACACCCCAAAAAAAGAGGCCAAAATGAGCGATAGCCTGGTGCATGGAGTGCGGCAAAAGATGTCGTCCTTTGGCAGGGCAGGATGCTGGAAACATGCACAAGTATGGCTGCTTAAAAGCAGCAACAACCGCCCTTGTCGTTGCAGCCCATAAAAAGGCTTTTGGGCCACAACCATCCACTGGGGAGTGAAACATTAAAGCCATAATCATCGAATCATTTAGAGCCAAGGGACCCACGAGCATTTGATATTATTTGACGGCAAAACAAGGTTTATCTGCTGTGGTTTTTCAATGCTTGAATGGTTTTGATAAATGGTTCTGCCCTGTTGCCTAAACCTAAAAAAAAAAGCAAAGAACTCGGTTTTTTTTGGTGTTTTTCTAGGCAGAAATAGATCAGACTTGAAGCTTAAATCTCTTGCGCCCAAAACAGCATTTCCAGTCTGCCCCTAACACCACCCCCCACACGATTCTCCCAAGCTTGGAGCTCCGCAAAAGCCACCTTCAAAGGCATATTTTTCAGCCGAAACAAATTGAGCCATAACTCCTGATTCCCGGAAAAGGGCTTCTAGGATTAAACAGCATGGAAATGTAGCTAAGGACAGGTCTGCCGCTGGAGTGGATACCCCCTGGGAGTCCTTTTTCGTGGATGGCGGCAAGATGCCAGAACCCTTTTTAATTAACTCGCACAAACGCGCGAACAAAACGCGCTCGCGACTCACAAAGTAACAACAGCAAACAGGCGGCCCAAAGCGCGTTCTGTAAGCCAGTTTTATGTTGGCTTTGAAGGCAACGGCCCAAGCCCAGGCCCAGGCCCAGGCACTGGGAAGAGCAGCCAGCAAAAGGAAGAGCATGGCGGCCCTTTCCTGTCCAGATATCCTGTCCTTCCCGTTATACATTTGTTCTGGCTTTAACCCCACTGCCATCTTCCAGCGTCAGGCATCCATGAGTTTGTTATTTGTTCGCCTCCAACGATGCCCATCCCCATGGCGAATCTTCGCTTCAGCTTTACAAATTGTATTTCAACGGTTTCGCGCTTCATTAAAATTGCTGTTAAAATAACACACGCAACAACGAATGT